TTTTTTTTTTTTTTTTTTTTTTTTTTTTTTTTTTTTTTTTTTTTTTTTTTTTTTTTTTTTTTTTTTTTTTTTTTTTTTGTTGAGAAAAGGGGTGATGAATAGATAGTTCATTTTATATTCATATATATATATATATATATATATATATATATATACACATACGATTTTTAGCTATACTAAAATATAAAACCAAATTATGTTGATCTTATGTTAGTAGAACATTTTATACATATATTTGCTTATGTATATTGATTTGTTAGGATTTTTTTACAATTTTTAAAATAAAGATTATATTGAAAAATTATAACTTTAAAATAACTATATTTTTTTTTAAAGAGTAATAAACTGAAAAAATTGTAAATAAAGCAAAGTAACCATCTTAGTATTTATTTTTAAATTATTAAAAAAGGGAATTCCACAACCCATTTCTTTTCTTTATTCATTATGATCATGTGAGTAAATTTATGTCTCAATCTGCAAAAATAAATGGAAAATTTCATGAAAATAAAAAATAAAAAAATAACAAGAATAAACATATTTTCATCCATATATTAATATATATGTATATATTTTTTTTTTGGGACAATTATTACGGCTTTATAAAATAAAATACAAAATTCAAGAATATTTTATATAATTTAGTGAAATGGTTAAGTGGAAAGTCTACAGCTGTTTTCAATAATTTAGTAAAAAAAAACAAAAAACAGTCATAAACCTTCTTTTCCCTCGTCTTCTCCCACCCCCGCCGTTCATTCTTCCATCGGGCTTCTTCTCCGGCGACGTCTAACGATTGTGCGCGGAGCTTTGTCTTCTGTTTCTATCTTGGTGGTGAACACGATGAGTCAACGGGCCACATTTCATTGGTGTTCTGGACCCCCGGGTTTTTCGATTTCCGATCTGAATGCCCCTTAACTTGTAAACCTCAGATTTGTGAGTTTGAACCTTCTCTCTTCGGAGGCTGCGATGAGCACCTTCAACGCCGCCGCCCTTGCCCCTGCCGCTGCTAGCCCCTACAGATGAATGGGTTCTCTATCTCGCATGGTGCCTCTCTGCAATGCCCTCTTTCTCTTCTCAAGCCCTAAAAAAACCCGCTGTGTTTCGCCCCAAATCCAAGCATCTCCCGGATTCCTCTCGCCCTTGTATCGTTCAGTCCCTTCTCAACCACTCTTCTCAGGGGCACCTCCCGGAAGCCCTCTCCTACCTCGACCCACTAGTCCAAAGAGGCATACGCTTACCCACTAGCGTTTTCGTCCACCTCTTGCGACTTTGTGCCAAAGCCAAGTCATTAAAAGGAGGAAAGTCGGTTCATCTGCATTTGAAACTCACGGGCTTCAAACGCCCTACAACTATCATTGCGAATCATTTGATTGGTATGTACTTTCAATGTGGCAGTGACATAGAGGCACGTAAGGTGTTTGATAAAATGTCTGTAAGGAATTTGTACTCTTGGAACCATATGCTTGCTGGGTATGCTAAGTTGGGAAATGTATATCAAGCTAGGAAGGTGTTCGATACAATGATAGAGAAGGATGTTATATCATGGAACACAATGGTTCTTGCTTATGCTAAGAAGGGGTGTTTCAATGAAGCTATTGGGTTCTACAGAGACTTTAGGAGACAAGATATGGGGTTCAATGAGTTTAGTTTTGCTGGTGTTTTGATTCTTTGTGTGAAGCTCAAGGAATTGCAGCTCGCCAAGCAGGTTCATACGCAGGTATTGGTTGTTGGATTCTTGTCTAATATAGTTCTTTCTAGTTCAATTGTTGATGCATATGCAAAATGTGGAGAGATGGAATGTGCAAAGAGATTGTTTGATGAAATGCCTGTTAAAGATATCCTTGCATGGACTACAATGGTCTCTGGATATGCTAAATGGGGTGATATGAATTTAGCTAGCGGATTGTTTCATCAAATGCCTGAAAAGAATCCTGTCTCCTGGACAGCTTTGATATCAGGTTATGCAAGAAACAGTTTGGGACATGAAGCACTCGATTACTTTACACAAATGATGAAGTTTCGAGTTAATCCCGACCAATTTACGTTCAGTAGTTGTCTCTGTGCTTGTGCCAGCATTGCTGCACTGAAGCATGGTAAACAAGTACATGCCTATTTGATCAGAACCAACTTCAGATGCAACACAATAGTCGTCAGCTCTCTCATCGACATGTATTCAAAGTGTGGCATGTTAGAAGCTGCCTGCAGGGTTTTTTATCTTTTGGGAAACAAGCAGGATGTTGTATTGTGGAATACAATGATATCCGCCCTAGCTCAACACGGACACGGGGAAAAAGCAATGCAGATGTTCAATGACATGGTTGAATCAGGATTGAAGCCTGATAGGATCACATTCATCGTGATCCTTAGCGCATGTAGTCATTCAGGTCTCGTGCACGAAGGACTTCAGTTTTTCAAGGCCATGAGCTACGATCACAGCGTTCTCCCCGATCAAGAACACTACGCATGCCTAATCGACCTCTTGGGTCGAGCTGGATGTTTTACTGAGTTGGTAAACGAGCTAGAGAAGATGCCTTGTAAACCCGACGATCGGATATGGAATGCGTTACTCGGAGTCTGTAGGATACATGGCAATATAGAGCTTGGAAGAAAAGTAGCTGAGCACGTAATCGAGCTGGAGCCTCGATCTTCTGCAGCCTATGTATCTCTTGCGAGTTTGTATGCGTTTCTCGGCAAATGGGAGTCGGTAGAGCAGGTCAGGGAAGTAATGGAAGAGAGATTAGTGAGGAAAGAGCGTGCTATAAGCTGGATTGACATCGAAAATAAGGTACATTCATTCATAGCTTCTGATAGATTTCATCCATTGAAGGAGGAAATATACTCTCTATTGGAGCAGCTAGCCAGCCACACAGAAGAGGATTTTTCAATCGTTTGAAAAGAAGTTGTAAGTTATTGCCATGCAGGTTGTTTTCAAGAAGATCTGCTGCAAAGTTTAACCTGTTAAGAATGGAACAGTCCACATAGTATGTGATAACTGAGCACAATGGGTATTACTCCATCATAATTTGTTTTTATCTCATTGTTAATCAATAATAATGGCTCGAGTTAGTTTCTTGATTATACTTTTGTGTGTATATGTTGCCTTTAGCCAATGTTTTTGTTTCTGATTTAAGTTCTAATGCAAAATAGAAAAATGAGAATAAAGTTGTATTAATCTTTGAACAAATTTGATCCTCAGTGGTTTATAAGTTATAACAGAACCTCTATTATAGTTAGCTTTTATAAATAAAATGTTACTTCTAGACTAGACGAACACAACTCTTTACAATGGTATGATATTGTCCACTTTAAGCATCAACTATTGTGACTTTGCTTTAGGCATCCCAGAAGGTCTCATACCAATGGACATCAGCTATCATGACTTTGCTTTCGGCTTCCCCAAAAGGTCTCATGCCAATAGACATTAGCTATCATGACTTGGCTTTGGGCTTCTCCAAAAGGCCTCATACCAATGGACTTTGTTTTGGGCGTCTCCAAAAGGTCTCGTACCAATGGAAATTGTATTACTTGATTATAGACCCATGATCATTCCCTAAATTAGTCGATGTGAGACTTATTTTTCATCAAACAATTACATATTCGAGTTACAATTCTTACAAATATGAAAGTATAGAACCAAATTATAATATATTAAAATTCAAAGTTAAATTATGGAGAGAAAAAAATATAGAAAAGAAGGTGAAAATAGGACGCTATATTCTTTCTATTATATTTTTTCATTTCAGTCGCATGCCGTTTCCTTTTCTCTCTCTCCTTTGACCTCCCTCTCTCTCTTGTTTGACTGCCATGGCTAGACAGCCCTCCTCCTCTAGTTCGACTGCACAGCCACCCTACAATTTTTGTTCCCTAGTGGTGATTTTTGTTCCGAGTAGCAAAATCAAACCAAACCAAACCAAACCAAACCGGTTCTTGATCGAGCCCGAAACCAAAGGAACCGAACTGACTATCGTCCTTTTAAGTCCAAGACTCCAAAGACTCCCTATCACTATCAAATGTATTTGGACTCTATCAACCACACGCTACATTGAGGGTGTTAGTCTTCATTTAAACATACATACCTAGCCTAGTTTAAGACCTTTTTAGGAAAAAATAAATATACATAAAAATCAAAATAATTACAAAACTAGATGCCCATTATATAGTCTCCTGTTCGAAAAAGATAGACACACAAGAAGTTATCAGTTTACAAGATTGGTTCACTTAAGAAACTTGAAAAATATAGTAAAAAGAACATTTTGTGCTTTCTTAGTTAATGACATGTAGAATCTTGTTTGTGAAAGTGATTCGAATCTCAAACAAGTGTTCTTGCATTAAGATATTTGATCAACAAGAATCATTCAAGTTAGACATGATCGTGGAGTGATTTGAATCTTATAACGGAACCCCCGCCCTTAACCCATTAACGAAAAAGAAAAAATGAAAAGATAAGGTCATTCCATTTCGACAAAAGACCCACACCCAAGTTCCATAGCTTTGGGTCCGCTATCCCGATCATGATTTTCCTACTCCCAGAGAAAAAAGTCCTTCCCTTTTTAGCCGGTTGTGGGCGAGGAGGGATTTGAACCCCCGACACCGTGGTTCGTAGCCACGAATCTCGAACAATGTTTTTTTCTTGAGATATTCGATCAACAAAATAATTCAAATCTTACACCCCTTTCACTTACTTCGCCAATAATTTTATACACATATTAATTTAGTAGGTTCCTCTCTAGTGTATTATAAATTAGACTGCTCTCGCATGGCCAACATTAAAGAATTTTTTATAGGTGCTTTAATTAAAGCAATCATAAAGAAGCTTGAAAATAATGGGAGCTTTTGTATATGGCATGCGTATTCTTTTAGGCATACTTTTCTTTTCTAGGTGAAACAAATAGGTATATTAAATTAGAAGCGACACAAAATGTGTATGGTAAATGCAGCCAAAACAGACCAACAAAAGAATGGGGGAAAGAAAAAGAAAACAGCAATGGAAGTCCTAAAGAACAAGCGTCTACAAAAATTAAATACACAATTAAAAATGGAGAGTTCTGCTGACCAGAAATTGTTGAGAGCTTCATTCAGTAGGGTGTATCGGTAAATACACAGTTCGAATGGAGAGTTCGGCTGCCAGAAACTGTCGAGATCTTTCATTCGATGGGGTGAAAACCGACCGATCAGGTACATGCCTTGGAGGAAGTTTTCTCAGTATAAAGAACCAATGCTGATGAAATAAACGCTATCAACTGCAGCTGCATGCACGTTGAAAGATGTAATATTTTGGGCGGATTTTGTTTTTAGCTTATGGAACCACTTTTGGATTAAATTAGAAGGCTAGCCAAACAGAGAATAACAGAAATCTCTAATCAAAGTCCTAAGATCAAAACGTCATCTGCACAAAGTAGATGCATAGTTAAAATGGAAAGTTCTGCTGACCAGAAATTGTCGAGAGCTTCATTCGATGGGATGATACCGATCGGATATACGCCTCGGAGGAAGTTTCCTCAGTATAAATAGAACCAATGCCGAAGGAACAATCTCTACCAACTGCAGTAACATACGCATCGAATTCATTAGAATTCTACACAACTAGAAGTAAATAAATTAGAAAACGAAAATGAAAGGTTTGCTCAACTTCAATGGATAAGTTACAAGAAAACTAAACCCCACAAAAGTACTCTAGTTGCGTATGAGCAATTCGCCAACAATTTTTATCTTGGGGAGCTTAATCATCACGTGATTCAGTTTGATTGAATTTGGACTCATTTTGTAGAATGTTTTGAAACCCACATTGAAGCACAAGAGAAGACAAGGGAAAGTTTGGTGCTCGTACTATTACAATAGGCAGCCAAAGAACGCAACAAAAAGGGAGTCCAAAAACTGGGTTAAGAAAGGAACCTCAATCCAACAAAAACAAAATCAATTATAAAAAGGCCTAATAACCGCCCCCATCATGAGGTATTAAACTTAGCCAGAGGTTGATCTTTTCACCACAAAACAGCAAAGAAACTAGCGGGCTACAAAAACTTTGGATTTCTACTGAACAATGAACCCAAAAGCACCTCCTCGATCATAAAGTAACAACCTCTACTTTAAGACGAGTATAAACCAAATGACCTTGTCTACTAGCTCATGAGAAAATAAGCAATCTGTAAACCCCACATGAAGTGTTGGAGGTCCTCCTCTTGCCACTTCAAAGAATGCACTATCGTGGGTACAACACAAAGGAAGAGTGTTATTCAGCATGATCCTTAGTGTTACGTAAAACATGCCACACAAAAAATATGACATTCGTTGAGATCGTAACCTTTCAAAGAGGAAAAAGTGAGGCAGCTTGAACAGGGACGGGCAAACCATATGGGAAAAAAGAACTACTAAAGAAGCCTCTAGAAGAATCAGGAGTCAAAATCCTAGTGGTCACCCATGCTGACTATGAAGGGAAAGAAGCTGATTATGAAGGGAAAGAATACACGCCACATCTATGGCCTCTTTCCTCAAAAAGAGGGCAACAAAAACCAAAGGAAAGGACGAATGGGGGATCTAAGGAGGGAACAACCAAAGTCAATGAATGCAACCTCTTACGCAGGAGATGATATAAGCGTAGAAACAATCTTCCCAAAATAAACTTCCGAGCTTTACCAATGGAGCATCTAATAATAACCTGAGAAACAAAAGAGAACTAGAGGCAATAGGTTTTCAAAAGTTCTTACTGGGGCTCTTAGAACTACCACTTGCAACCCAATCAAAAAGGTGCATTCCTACTCAAACTAACTTTGTACTCCATGAAGGACTACAACAACCAGCTCCATGAAGGACTACTACAAGCACTTAGCCAGAAGAGCCTCGTTATGTAATCCAAGTTCCGAAGCCCCAATCTACCTATCTCAACGGGCTTTACCACCACCTCCCACTTAACCAATCCCCCTTCATCGACTTCTCCCACAAGCAACTTTTCATCACTCAATCAATAATCTTACTAGCCGAAACTGGACAATAAAAGCCGAATTCGTCTGTCATAATAATTCATAAAGGCGACCTCGCACATTGAAAGGACAATTAAATATTTAAGGCAAAATATTTTACTCACAGTTTCTACCTAAAAAAGGGTAATCTATGCATTGTAGATAAAATATTAGAATATAAACTAGGGATTGAAAACTTGCCAGGTAGTATATCAGGTTAAGAACGGGATGATCTAGGACGTCAAGGTCTGCATCCTTGTCAAATGCAGAGAGAGCAAGCTACAAGGTGAACAAATATGCAAATATATTGTCACTTAAAGAATGTTGATCAAGATTACTGTAACGTTGATCAAGATTACTGTAACCCTAAACTCACCACCAAACATCGTATAGAGAAACAGCTAAAACAAATTGATGTCACAAAACCAACCTGCGAAGATAAGAAAAAAATAAGAATTTTTTTATATCTATGAGTGCTTGAGTCAGCTTCATTGTCACGGGATAATCACAGACTCTATTACATTGGTTGCCACAATAGCTCATAAAATATTATATTTGAAGTAGGTGGTCACCATAATTCGAACTCTTCCCTCCAAGCCCTTCAACATTTACATAGACCTCATGACCATATTCACCATGAGACCAACCCATAGTAGTTAATAATTTGAAATCACCATGAGCTTCATTAAAACTTAATCTTTTAAGAGGTTAAACTCATCATTGATCCTTGAAATATACACATTCATCAATTATGTCCTTGATGTTTAAAAGGCCAATCTCATTCCAATTTCTCAACCAAACCCTGATTGAAATTGAATAATGGAACAGCAGCGTAGCATTTGAAATATCTTTTGATCATTCTAATCGGGATAGACTTCTCTAATTGAATACAAAATGAGCTATGAAATCTTGAAATACAAAGATGTCACAACGGATTTCTAATACAATGATATTATTGAGCAGGGTAAATTTGTAAAATATACAGCTTTCACAAAATCTATTGCTTTAAGCGTTTCTAATCCTGTGTAAAACACATTAAGAAACCTACCTCATACAACTTTTTTTGGCGTCCTCTAGATTCAATAGGGAACTGCCTCAGCATGACAAATAGCCTGTTAAGAGAGTAATTGTTAAGAGTGGAACATAATTAACCACAGCTCCTGAATTCATACTCGTTTATTACCTCCCACCATATATCAGGAAACCCACTGCAGCAGAAAATGCCACCACTGGAAATAATAAAGAAAAAAATGACTATGCCTCCATAAACTAGAATGTGGAAGCCAAAAGGTTCCAGTTGAAATGGACATCGATTATACATCACATTTCTAATGTAAATAAAAAATAATATTTGCTTTAGATGTAAGAGAGAATGCAGGTTTCGAGCTGCAACCTGAAAAGAAGAGCTTGGCAGCTATAACTGCACCAGGAGATTGGTCTA